GTGCGTGCGCATCGTTGCGATATTCTGATAGTGTTCTTTTTCGGTGATTTCCTTTTTTCGCGATTTCCTTTTGTGCGGTCGTTTGTTTACGCAGCTTAGCTGGCACCGTTATTGCCTGGCGTGTTTCCGGTGTATTGTTAGTGCGATGGTGGGTAGCGAGGGTGAGTGTCCGCGAGTGCTTTTTACGGGTACAAATTTTTGTGCAATTCTGTGCATTTTTGTGTACTGCATATAGCGGTAAGTCATTTTACTATTACTTATCATCATACGGCCTCTGACGGTAGCACCAATGTCGTCCTTGAGGGTACGGACAAGTTGATGTCCGCCCTCCTGGAGGCAGGTAGGTGCGACATAAAGTGGCTCTCCTTCTGGGTGCGACCGGATAGCCCCGTCGCTGGCTGCTTCCACAGGGTGGAAGAGTGTAGGGCTACAAAAGATGTCTGCCGGAGGTGTGGTCAAGAAGGCCACAAAGCTGCCAGTTGCGTCAATGCACCACATTGCCGCAAGTGTGCGTTCAAGGGGAGATCACCTGGGCATCTTATGATRTCAGCTATCTGCCCTATATACTGTGGTCGTGTTGAGCGCACCCTCGCCAGACACTGATGGGTGGGATCRTCCAGCTAAATTGTCAGGGTTCCTATGCCGTAATGTGTGAGTTGGGGGGTTGCATGGCTGAGGGTGGGTGCGGTATTGCTCTACTCCAGGAGCCATACGCCACCAATGGTGTGGTTCGGGGTCTCCCTGGGGGTTTTAAGGTCTTCACTGACCTTAGAGCTAACGCCGCAATAGTTGTGAATAATCCACGCTACGATTGCGTAGTTRTGGATTCTTCACAACTGGGTATATGTGTAGCTGTAGATGGGGAGTTCGGTAGGATGATTGTCGCTAGTTTATATTGTAAATATAGCGAGCCCCTAGAGCCCTACGTGGGCTACATGGATAAGCTACTACTACTTGCGAGTAGTAKCMCATTTATCCTAGGGCTGGATGCGAATGCCTCGTCCTCGATGTGGTTCAGCAAGGTATCCCGGCATTCGTCTGGATATCAAAGCCACAGTTGAGGCGAGGCATTAAGCGAATGGGTGGTGGCTAATAGCCTCCACATCTTGAATGAGCCAAGCGTATGGTATACGTTCGATGGGCCTGGGGGCGTGAGCGACATTGACGTGACGCTTATGAATGAGGCAGCAAGTAGGGCTTTCAGTGTTAAATGGGAGGTTAAGGGATGGTGGGGATTGAGTGATCATAATTTGATTCAAATTATGGTTACCCCTCGGTCCTCTCCCTTGCCTTATGAGAGTCCATTGCGGCGATGACGTACCTCTGGTACTGACTGGAACCAATATGGACTCTCCGTTAGGGATGCGGTGTTGGGAATACCGCTTAGAGTTTTTGAGGAGTTGGGGGTAGACGAGCAAATTGCTCGTCTCCATGAGGTAGTTTGGGGGGTGAATGATAGGGTTTTTGGTAGGTGTGCATGCTCAAGAGTTAGCAAAATTAAATGGTGGACGCGTGAGCTAACCTTGAAGAGGAGGACTGTCAGGCGATTGAGGCGAAGGTTTCAACGCGCCCGACATTCCAATTCTGATAAGCTGTCCCAGCTTAGGTATGAATTTAGTTGTGCGGCTAGGGAGTATAAGGAGATGCTAGTTAAAGTTAAAGAGGAAGATTGGAGGAGTTTTATGAGAGAAAATAGGAACGACCCCTATGGTCAGATCTATAGGATCTGCCGGGGTCGTAGAAGGGAGGATGTCACTTCTCTACGCGTCCGTGACACTCTGTTATCGTCGTGGAGAGAGTGTGCGGGGGTTCTGTTAGGTGCGTTCTTTCCTAGGTCGGAAGTGCAGGTACCTCAAGMACAAGAGGTGCCTGTTCCTCCATTATATTATGGGGAGCTGGGGTACGCCTTTGGCCTGGTTAGGTCTAAACGGTCCCCGGGTTTTGATGGATTGAACGGAGAGATGTGTAAGAGCGTGTGGAAGTTCATTCAGGAATACTTGGAGGCCATTTATAATAAGTGCGTTTGGGAGGCATACTTTCCACCCGAGTGGAAAAGTGCTAGGGTTGTTCCTCTCCTGAAGTCCCCCGATAAGATCAGGAGCAATTCTCGATCTTATCCATTAGGGATGCGGCATCAGTCATGGTGGAACGGCTTCAGGAGCTAACGCGAGGTATGTGGTCGGATAGGCAGTTTGGGTTTCGGAAAGGACGCAGTATAGAGAATGCTTGGTTTTATGTTCAGGATGTCGTTAGGGAGAATGTCAACAAGTATGTCCTTGGCATATTTGTTGACTTCAAGAGGGCGTTTAACTACCTAAGCTGGGATCGAGTGGTACAACGGCTGGAGGAGCTTGGCTGTCCGAAAATTACTCTTTGGCGGAGTTATTTTTCGGACAGAAAGGCCTCTCTTGTCGGCATGAATGGAAGTGTGGAGATTAGAGTGGTTCGTGGCTGCCCGCAGGGTTCCATCTGCGGTCCATATATTTGGAACCTTATGATGGACACTCTGCTTGGGCAGCTCGAGCCACCCTGTAAGTGTTGTGCGTATCCGGACGACCTTCTTCTTATAGTCGAAAGTCGCTCGCGGTCTGAGTTAGAACGGGCGGGATTAGATCTCTTAGAGATCGTTAATACTTGGGGTGTAGGTGTGGGAGTAGACATATCGAGGGAAAAAACGGTGACAATGCTGCTTAAGGGCGCAAGATATGTGACGCAAGTCAAATATGACCTGATTGTCATACAGCGTGCTGTTGCATTCAGGTTAAGAAGGGGTTTGAGTGTGTCAATGCTGCGGAACGATTGGATTTCCGACGATGATGTCGAGAGGGAGGGATATCTAGAGAGCAAGAGGCTCCTAGACGATAGGGTTAGGCGTAGGTGGCAACAACGTTGGGACAATAGTCCTAACGACCGAGTGACGTACGAGTACATTCGGGACGTTGGGTTCATTGAGGATAGCCCAGACTTCAGATTTTGTCTGAGTCTGGGTTTCCTTCTTACGGGGCATGGGCCTCTGAATGCATTTTTGCATCAGAGGCACCTATCGGATACGTCGGTAGGTTTTTGTGGGGCGGGGTTGGGAAATTGGTCACATTTAATTGCGCAGTGCCCGATGTACTCGGACATTAGGGATCTGGGTGGTATGGGGATTAGCTGGACTGATGGACGATTAGATGTTAGTGGGGTGATCTCCACTAGTCGAAATACCGAACAGTTAGGGTTGTTTGCGCGTGAATTATTTAAGCGGCGAATACGGTTAGTTGGAAATTAGRGTTAGATTTGTATGATTGGTGTGTGTATGTGATGTATGCATGGGGTCCAACCCCGGGCTACCAGTCCAGAGCAGCATGGAAGCTCAACTGGTAGTAGTTTCGGCTACGAGGTCTGACCGGAGATTTAATTCTGGTACCACGGGGAGCAGGAGCCCTTGGAGGTAACTAGAACCTGCTCATGCGGACTGGCCCCTCGGGGAGTATCGTGGTGGTTGTGGTTAAAACCCAAATGCGACAAGAACTGACTTTGTCAGTTGAATGTGGAGTTGCATTGCAACCGGGTGCCGGACCCAAAGCACGGCAGAGGTTTTAGATGGGCCTCGAACCCGACCAAGGTGGYTAGTGTGTCSATTCCACACTGCCAATTGGTACTGAAAATGCTTGGCAGTATCAGGGCGCTGATCAACGCATTGGTTCGATCTGCTGTACTTTTGAGTGCCGTGGAGTAAAGCTGTGGTCAGCAGGTAACCACGTTACACACCGGACGTTGTCAACACGTTGTCGCGACGACTGTTAGTTTGATGACAAGAGATATTTCGTCTTGCCCTCGTTCACTGCCAGACCCATTTGCTTTACTTCCTTGTCCAGTAGCTCGAAGTACCTCATAGCTGCAGATCTTAGCTCAAATTTTCTCCACCAGCAGATTGAAGAGTCTGAATCCTCGTTTGGTATCGAACGGCTCTAAGAGGTCCTTCCCGAGCCTGACAGAGCTTTTGGTGTTGCTCAACGTCAGTTTACACACACGTATTAGTTTTGCGGGGATACAAAGTTTAGACATCGGGACAGCTCATTTTCGTGGTGTCGAAAGCAGCTTTGAAATCGACGAAGAGGTTTTGTGTGTCGATTTTCCTTTCATCGGTATTTTTCAGCAGTTGGCGCAGACTGTGGGGTTTCCCTTTTTGTGAATTGGGCAGAGCACACTTAAATTCCTATCGTTTGGCATGCTTTCACCCGACCATATTTGTGGGGAATCGGGTTCGCCTTCTCCTGACGTTGTACGATCCCTGCCATTCAGAAGACTGGAGAAGTGTTCCCTTCATAATTTGTAACGTATTGAATCAATCGTTACAATTCTTTAAAATCTTTCAAAATAGGCTTCTTTCGCGTCGATTCGGTGCTGCCAGATGATTTCCAAGCATTGAAGTTGTCACAGAAGGCATTCTCCGGAATAGCCTTGAGAAAATGCATGCCTTTAATCGGCTGTCTCGAGATCATTCTCAAAGGTTTAAGAGTCGTCACCAGTGATTGCGTTATTCAAAAATTGGGGGTTACTTTTGGGCACTTTTGGGACAATCTTCGAATCTGGCCGRAGGGGGTAATGAGACGACTAACGAACGTTTTCAAAACCAGAGCATACGCATAAACGACTGATGTTTTCATGAAGGAATCACTTTTCCAGTCCGCAAAACTAATGAGGCTCTTTGTGAACATGGGACAAGACGAAATATCTCCTTCCATCAAACAAACAGTCATCGCATTCGCTACCAGGGTCAAACCCCACTGTTGACAATTATAGCTTTTAAGTTGTAAATAATTTCRTCTATCTTGGAACCAGCATAAACACCACGTAAGAAATAACCCTTTCTGTGAAYCCACTTCACCAACCCAAAATGGTTTCAAAAATTTTGAATATGAAAATTGTTCTGGTCTTTTAAACATTATTTCTATAAAACTTGTAAATTCTAAAATCATTGTGTGCAAAATGTAAATAATTTGGCTTACCAAATATCCTCGAACCGGAATGTCTCTTCTTAAGGTGAGTGATAAATGTGATATAACTTCCGGTGGCTTTGAAAATTGATTATTAATATTAGCCCCGATAGTTGCTACTTGTTGCATCATTCTTTCTGCATGTTCCTTAAATAAGAGTAATAACAATCATTACTATTGAAATCACAAACAGAGGATGCAAGTGATATGTTATGTATAAAAAATTGCAAAGTTTCAAATTTTCCCTGATGAAAATATGCCCAAATTTTTCGTTAAAATTCAAAGAAGATTAAGCGTTACAGATATCATACACCCATTAAATAACTGATTTAATCTCAATTTTAAATTTGACAGTAAAGGAAATTTTTAAYCCGTATTATAAAATAGAACATCTCTCCTACTATTCTTTCAAACCACTTYCACGTTAAATTCGGCTGCACCGAAGCTAATATCCCCTTCGCAGGTGCATTTCTTTTAGTAACCATATGTCCAGTTTGTATGGAAGCTATATGCTATAGTAATCCGATCTGAACAATTTTTTCGGTGATTATGTTATTACCTTAAGCAGCAATCCATGTCAAATTTCGTGAAGATACCACGTCAAATACGAAAGTTTTCCCTACAAGCCCTTGATTCCAATCGTTTGGTTGGTATGGCAGCTATGTATATGCTATAGAGAGCCGATCTGAACAATTTCTCTAGTTCAATATACAAGCTATGATATCATATGAAAAGCCAACATAATTATGAATGGAAAACTTAATTTGCTGGTCAAATAAAACATTAAATTAGTTTGAAATTAAAGTTTGAAAATACAAGTTTTCTTCTCGGTTAACAAAAATAAGAATCACCACAACGAGCTTTGTAGTATATTAAAAATAACATTGTGAAATTGTTTGAAAATCATCTAATATTACAATTACTAAAGTTTATGGTTCGACTGCCAAGAAAAGTGATCACAAAAACTTTTAATAATGAAGTAAATAAATTTATAAGAATAACGAAACCACGTGGAATAAAAAAAAACTAATTTTAATGCCAAATTTATAAAAGTAAAAACCTAGGAAATCAGCTAAACCGATAAAAATGAGAGAAGAGATCGTCTAGTTCGGCCACGAACATAATGTTATAATATCGAAAATACTATTTAGTCCACTTTCTAAGAAGTCTTTACATCAAACACCATCATATGTATATGATTTATGATGGTGTTTAAGGTAAAAGTTACATCTAGAAGCGGAATTAGAAATTTTCCATCAGACTAGCTGGAATTAAAAGCTTTAAGCAAAAATTAATCCCACAGAAATGAGAAATAAAAATATCTTCCTTATACAATGCTCTGTCGTGTCTTCCTTGGATTTCCAAAAATTTTGATTAGAAGTATTTTTAAAAAATTCGAAATGGTCGAAAAAAAATTTTTTTGTTCAAGTCGACGCCATTTTGTTATTATTATTATTATTATTGTTTTTTTTTTTTGTTTTTCGAAAATGATCAACTCGATAACGACATCTTTACTAATGAAGAATCCTCTTGTGTTTTGTGTTTTAGATCTGTACAAGGGTTGAAATCACGTCAACCRGGACGCAAGGTTTTTTTTGATGCCCCCACTCCACCGCAGTTTTTTTTAGTAGTTTTTAACAGTACCGTTATACGGGGATTATCATCTGATTTCACACCGTCAGCAGAAGGTCTTATAAAATTTCTACTCAGTAAATTTGCTTTTTGTAACCTAGGTGCCCCTTCCTGCTGCGATCCCATAATTGAGCTTTAAACCTTAATTTAGTGCTAAGCTATGGCACTTTACAATATTTTCGGTTAATAGCGATTTGTGGGCGTGGCAGAGATCCGATTACGCCCATCTACGAACTGGAATTTTTTTGTTCAAAGGATCCCACGTAACAAGTTTCATTGAGATATTACTCATGTTACAGCTTGCACGGACGGACAAGATTACTTATATGTATTCATGTCTATCTTGAATAGTTTTAGGTTTTACATACAACCTTTAGGTGCGCAAAACTATAATACTCTGTAACAACTGGTTACAAGAGTATAAAAATGTTAACGCATTATGAACAATTAAGATGTTGCTTATACTAAATGTTTTAAAATTTCTCTAATTATATATTAATTCTGTATGTTCTCATGCTTTTCTTGCTGCACAGATATCGGACGCTTACGTAGCGCACTGCACAACGATGAATGTTCACGTTTTAAGAGCGGAAGGGGGATGTGCACAAAAAATAAGGTGACTTTTGAACTTAAATTGTGCACGTCGAAGGATTTGGAGAATTGTTTTTTTTTTTTTTACGTTGGTAGTACTGTCAGTCACATTTATGTTAAATTTCATGTCAAAATATTCATTACTGTTTGAGATACGTGTCGTTTTGTGAGCTGCTAAAAGTGAGTTTTTTGTTTTTTGCGATGTCGAAATTTGTTGAGCAAACAATTTGCATTAACTTTTGTTTACGGAATCAATTTTCTGCGGCGGATACGTTGAGGATGGTGCAGAAAGCCTATGGTGATGAGGCTATGTCTAAAAAAAATGTTTACAAATGGTATAGTGAGTTCCAAGCCGGCCGTGAACGTGTCGAAGAAGAAGAGCGTCCAGGGCGAYCATCAACCTCAACCGRCCTCACGTTCAACAAATCAAAGATTTGGTGCTTAAAAACGTCGAATAACAATTAGAGACCTTGCTGATGAAGTTGGCATATCGAAAGGCTCAGTCAATACCATTTTGAAGGATGTTTTGGGCCTCAAGCGCGTCAAATTTCGAACGGTACCGAAATCATTGAATTTTTTGGAACAAAGGGGTAGCGTTGAAGTGTGTGAAACGATGCTTTCCGACTACCAGGGTGTCATGGAACGTATTATATCGCTATTATATTAATATTATATTAATCGCTCAAAAATCAAGGTCATGTTGACTGGTTTCTTCGATTATTGTGGTGTTGTGCATTATAAATTCTTTCCAACCGGTCAAACAGTCAACAAAGAATATTATTTGAACGTTATGCGTCGTTTTTGTAACGCTATCCACCTAAAAAGGCCGGAATTGTGGAAAGACAATTCTTGGTTTTTACACCACGGTAACGCACTACCCCATACTGCCCTCGTAATTCGTGATCATTTCGCTAGAAACTTGACCTATATCATTCCGCAACCACCGTATTCACCTGATCTGGTGCCGTGAGACTTCAGGCTGTTCACCAAGCTCAAAAGACCGCTCCGGAGACACCGTACTTATACGATAGAGGAGATTCAAGTCGCAAAGAAGAAGGAACTGAAGGCCATCCCGGAAAGTGACTACAACCAGTGTTTCGAAGATTGGAAAATCCGTTGGCATAAGTGCATTGCATCGGAAGGGGATTGCTTTGAAGGGGATTTGGAAGAATAAATAAAGAATTTTCAAAATAAATACAACGTCACCTTATTTTTTGGACAAGGATACCAAGATATAGCATACCCAATACTACATATGGATAGCGATTTTAAATTTTCTATGAAACCGTATGCCAAATATGGCAGTCAGGGGATATGTTGTAAATGTATTATTCTTTGGATTCCGATCCTCTGGTTGAAGTTTTGCACCTCTTTACTTATCGAACATTGCTTTACAGGGATCATTATTTTGAGATCTGAGAGCAGGTCGCTAGAAGYCAGATTTGGGAAATACGGTGCATATGTAACKCGAACCCCAATTAATGGATATTGGCTTTCGTTTKCACTGRCTTTTGCCACMTTGCATTGCCTTGGTGAGACAGGACTTTCTTTTCATTCAAATTGGCCGTTTCGTCTATTAGACTTCGTTTGACTATCAATAGGAGTTCGGAGAGAAATGATGGAGCCATGTTTCATTCGTTGTCATGTA